TGGGAGATTAAGATATTAACTTTTGATTTGTTATGTTAAGCATTGTTAAAAGAAAAACTTCAGACAAATTACATTTAACAGAGTTTAATTAAGGAAAGAATGATTTTTGAATGGAGAACCCCACCCTGCAACCAGAATCCCGTTCAGAAAGAATCCCACGCCGTTGTGTGGTGAGAGATTTATGGTAGGCAAGAATTCTACCACTGAAACACCGATGCAAGATTTATGGATGAAAAAAGGAAAGTGACTTATAGAAAACAGAAGTGAGGTACAGAAACTGCTGGATTGGTTACAGCTTGCCTTATTTGAACATGGTTCAAACCTTTGATTGGCCAAAACTCAGTGATTGGTACAGGAGCAGGTTATAGTCTGTTTACATATCTAGTTAGGTTACAGTTCATTATGTATGGAGAAACCTTTAGGGCAAACTTCAAATATGCAGGAGGCAGCTTTAGGCTAAACTTAATTTAACAGCTTGCATGTAAAATGTCAAGTGTAACCTGTAAAAGAATAGAAATGCAGTGATTAACATCTCAATCATAAGAAGGAAACAAAGACAATAAGAAAACAAAGAACAATAACATTATGCAATAAAAAGACTCACTAAAAAGCAGGAAAAAAGGACATAGTAAAAATATAAAAATAAATCCAGATATTTTAGAAATGATAACGATTAAGAAAAGGTAAATCGTGGTTGGGTACAGTGGCTCATACCTGTAATCCCAGCACTTTGGGAGAACAAAGTGGGAGGATCACTTGAGACCAGGAGTTTGAGATTACAGTGAGCTGTGATTGATCTGACCACTTCACTCCAGCCTGGACAACAGAGGGAGACCCGTCTCTAAAAACAACAACAACAAAAACAAAAAACAAAAAACCCCCAAAAGATAAATCACTAATATAGCCAGTTAAAAGGCAGATAGGAAATTGGAAAAAACAGGAATCATGTATCTGTATCTTATGTAATATTTTATTTTTAGAGCACCAAAATAAATAGCACATAGGTGTTCAAAATGTATTTCTTAAAAAGCTTAGCCATTTTCATACAAAAAGAGCTATTTACAAGTCATTCCTTGCTACTCACCTCTACATTTGTCAAAAACATAGAGGTGGGTAGCACCTTATATAATCATCAACACCTTAAATTTGTGAGATTTCTTTATGCATCAAGGAATGTTGCTAAGTTCCAAGATGACACCAATTTTTACAGGTATGTGGACATCTTCAAAATGTCTGCTTAACGCACTTTCTTTTTAAAGAACACAAATCATCACCAACAATTGAAGAGAAAAATCTAGTGTTATTTATGTGAAGCTTAAACATGTGACATTATATATTATTCTGCTTTGGGTACTTCCCAGATGTAATTATGATACCCGGAGTTTTGCTAAGACAACACAATAATTTGTAAAGAAGCTTAGCATTAAAATGTTCCCTATTTGTGATTACTCATTGTACTTTAAAATTGTTCTCGCTAATTTTTCATTTCTGATGATCCAAGTGAAGAGTATTTGCCAATGCCCATGGTATCACATCTGAGATGTTAAAGGCAGCCTCCAAAGGGAACAAAATGGAACAAATTCTAGGAAGGATCTACAAGTTAAGGTTCTATATAATTGTTGGGTAGATGCAAAAGTGATTGGAGGAAATTGCTTTTGATAAAACTGTTGCCCTCCCCCACCCCCAAAGAAATTGGATTATTAACTCAAACTTCAGAGTGGTAGAAAGTGGGTAAACTGATCAATTATACTAGTCACATTAAGTATATTTGTTCATATCCTACCTCATTCCACAAAAGATTTGAGTGTATTTATAATATATAATTTTCTCTAAATTAAAAAAAAGCAGAATCACAGAAAATATATAAAGAATGGAAATATAAATCTAGGCCAGAGGTCCCGAAACATTGCAGCACATTAGGATCATATGGGGAACTTTTATTTTTTTATTGTTTATTTTTTCGAGACAGAGTCTCACTCTGTTGCCCTCAGTAGAGTGCTGTGGCTTCAGCCTAGCTCACTGCAACCCCCAACTCCAGCTCCTGGGCTCAGCAATCCTCCTGCCTCAGCATCTTGAGTAGCTGGGACTATAGGTGTGCACCACCATGCCCAGCTAATTTTTCTATTTTTAGTAGAGACAGGGTCTTGCTCTTGCTCAGGCTGGTCTCGAACTCCTGAGCTCAAGGGATCCTCCAGCCTCAGCTTCCCAGAGTGCTAGGATTATGGGGTTAGCCACCCTGCCCAGCCCCAGGGGAAGCTTTTAAAACTCCTGATGCCCACATGGCACCCTATACCGATTAAATCAGAATGTCTGGGGGCGAGAGGCAGAGACCAGCAGTATTAAAGATCCCTGGATGTTTTTACATGTAGCAAAATTTGGGAACCACCGACCTCCGCTGATGTTCTCAACCTTAGATGCATATTGGCATCACCTGTGATGTTGTTGCAACCACTGTTACCTGAATTGATTAAGTCATAGTCTCCCGTGCTGGCTACTGGGGACTTAGTCCATTTTAAAGCTCCCAGATGATTACAATGTATGTCCAGAGTAGAGAACCACTGCACTGGGAGAAAGCTGATATATAGTTACAAAGGGGATTGTTTTTTTTTCCTTTTTTTAAAATGGGTTCTTTTATGGCTTAAGGTCATAAAACTGGTTCTTGAGTTTTCTGGTGGCCAAAGTAGATAGAAAACCACAATCAGTTGAAACAATTTTAGTCATCCACAGTGCAAAAGCTTACCAGCTTCTTGAAAACAAGCAAGCTTTTCCTCACAGGTCTGAAATAAATGTCTTGTTTGAGTCTTCTCACAGGGGACATTGAATGAGGTCATGGATCACGATTTTATAAACACCCTACAATAAATGACATATGGCAAGTTTCGTACTGTAGTTTCTAATAACCATCCCTCAGGGAAAGCCAAAGACATGACCCCACAGTTGGGAAGTACAGGCTATGGTGGCCGGCCAGGTGATAAAGGACAGGAAGAGGCATTGCCACACCCCTCTACAGGTTCGACATGATACAGCATCACTGGAAGGCTAAGCTTGGAACTGTGTACCTCCGGGGTGTAGAAGGGGTGTCCTGTGTAATCAGAAATTACAATTTTCTATCAAAAAATTTTAAGAATCGATGACTTTTTTTTTAAATGACATAAACTGTACAAATTTGACAAAGGCCTGGCCAGGGAGGGTACAGAAGCACTGATTCCCGATCATAGGAGTGACAGGCAGGACGAAGGGCATCTTAGAATTTTTGTGTGCATGTATGTGTGCTTGTGCCTTTTGTTTATCAAGAGAAAAAGACTTTAGGTTAGAAAAGCTTGAAAAACCTTGGCGTGGAAAGAATGAACAGAGAGATCTGACTTCTAAATACTCCTCCATAAAGATTATTTTTTTTCTCAGTTGGGAGTTTGTGGCATCTAAGTATTGTAGACTTAATCGTGCAGGATTTTTAGAGAAGGCTGTGAGTAGAGTGTTGACTTCATGGGGCTAAGTCTTGAAAGGAAACACATTATAAGCCAATCATGTTGCAGGAAGGCCAAGGAGAGCTTAAGTTAGGATGGGTGTGCCCCTCTTTTCTTCTGAACGTGATCTAGCAGGGCCAACGGCAGATATTTAGTAAGGGAGCTGAGGACTGGCAAAAACGCCGATTCTTTTGGGTTACGTGAGTTCTCTCTTCACTTGAATGAGAATCCTAAATGCACCTGATAATACCCAAATGGGCACTTTGATGTTTTCTTTTCAAAGGCAAATGGCATGTTCTGCGTCTGTTTTCTTTTTGAATTCACAAATGCACTTAACATGTAAATTTAAGGAAAGGCCTCCAAGAAAAAGTCGAGTGACGAATTTCTTTCACTTATTTAAAGTAGTCTCTTGCATTCCTACAAATCGGAAGGATTAAATGAACTGCTTGCTAGAGAAACAGTAGCTAGGATGTGGGAGGAATCCTACGGTGGCTAATAAGACGTCTCAATCGTTTGCATATGCAAAGGATAACCTTAAACTTGAGTTTGATATTTCACGTTGCGGCTCAAAAATGAGTTGCCTTTTATTCAAAGAACCACGCTGTCGGTTTTCCAGTGGGTGGGTGTGTACTCAGGGCGGGCGCCGTGTTGGTTTTGTTCCCTGCAAGGTTGACACAGGCAATGGCGACGCGCGGCCACACCGGGGCAGCCTCTCCCCTGCTGGTGGCCAGGCCAGGCGGATCGCTCGGGGGAGCTGACAATGTAACCAAGTCCGGCTTGTCCGGGCTGCCAAGGATTTAAAGGGTCTAGAAACATCCATCGTTCCCCCTTTTAACAATCAAAAGTCAGCTCAGGGCTCTTGGTTAAAAGACCACAGTAGGGAAGAAACGGGCAGGGTGTTTTGTTGTTTGGAAAATGCCTTTGTCGCCCCCAAACGTCCAGCCGCCCCCTCCCCAAAGCAGAGGGAAACCGGGAGAGGAGGGAGGGTCAGCGGCGCAGCCAAGCCCGCCCGGGCACGCCTCTGCGAACCGCCCCACGGCCGGGTGACCCCCGGAGTGCGGCGCTGGAGGCCGGGGGTGGCGTGGGCGTGGGCCAGAACTCCGCCGCCCCGCAGCCCGCGGCCCGCCCCCCGGCCCGGCCTGTGATTGGCTTGGGGGGCGCGTGCGCCCGCCCCGGAGAGCGGGGAGGGTCCCCTAGCGGCGCCGGGTGGGAGGAGGCGGAGGAGGGCCGGAGAGAGCGGGGGCCAGGACCGAGCGAGCGAGGGGGCGGGCGAGCTGGGTCCCGGGGATCGCGAAGCCAGCTCGGAGAGGGGCGGAGAGCGGCGCGCGGGCGGGGAGGGAGGCGCGGGCCGCGGGGAGGGAAAGCTCGGCGGGCTCCGCGCCGCTGCTGCCGCCGCCCGCTGCTCGGCGCGCTCTCGGGAGCCGCCAGCCCGCACGTCCCGCAGCCTTCCGGGAGGAAGCGGCGCAGGCAGCGGCCGAGTGCGCGCGCTCGGCACCCTCACCTGCCGGCGCCCGACCGCTCCCCCAGCGGGGCGCGCGCAGGGCCGGGCGCGGGACCGGCGGGACCTGGAGGCAGAGTGAAGCCTGGGCAGCCCGCGCCGCAGCACAGCCGCCGGCAGCGCCTCGGGCCCCGCGCGGGGCGCCGGCTCCATGGCGACCGGGCTCGGGGAGCCGGTCTACGGACTTTCGGAAGACGAGGTGAGTGCGCTCCCTTCCCGCCCGGCACTCCCCGGGGAGTTCCTGCCCCACGCCGGCAGGGGGAGGGGAATGGGGCCACCCCGCGGGGCTCGTACCCCGTGCCTGTAGGGGAGCCCCAAACACGGGAGCGCCTTGGATCGGGGTCGGGGGGGGGCGGCTAGGGTCCTCCTTGTCGCCCAGCCGGGAGCATTGTTTGTAAATGAAGCCGCGCGACGCCCTTGGAGCTGGGGATTCTTTCCGCCGCTCCCTGCTTTTGGGGAGGGAGGGGGGCACGCGCGCCTCCCGGTCCCTCCTCTCTAAGCCGCGTCTCCCCGGGCTCTTGGGCAACTTTCCGCCTCTCGCTCCTGCAGCGCGGAGTCCATGCGGGGTGTCACGTCTAGGTCGCGGCTGGAGACCCGTGCAGCGTGGGGGGAGCCGGGGCTGCGGGGGAGCCTGATCGTCTTCCCTGGAACTTTCTTTCTAATGATTGTGTGTGTGTGTGTGTGTGTGTGTGTGTGTGTGTGTTATCAGCAGGCGCTCTGAAGCGTGCGTGTGCTTCTCCCGGTGGGAGTGCGGGGCGGAGGAGGGAGCTGCGTGTGTCCATCCCCCACGTCTTGCAAAGTCTAAAGCCAGGATTGTGGATTTCGGAGTCTTGGTGGGGGGAGGTGGTCCGAGGTGGTGGCAGGTGCTACTGGAAACTTGGGAAGGAAGCCTGCCATTTTTTTCCTCCAGAGGATTCAAAGCCCGGCACCTCAGGGGTGAGTGGAGAGAGGAAAGCTCAATTGATCCCTTATATTAATAAAGCGAATGAATAAGCCACGCCCCCAAGCGGTCGGTTCGACTGCTAGGGGCTTTGTTTTTCACCTCACTCTCTCCTCCCCGTTACCCACTCCCCGCTTTTGAAACAATCCTGCTAAATCACTGCCTAGCCCTCTCCCGGCCAGCCTCCCTCGGCTCTTATTGGTGTGTTGCACTGCCAAAAAGGGGGGTGGGACGCCTGTCGCGGGCGCGGCGTGACGGGCAGGCTGGATGGAGCAGGTAGGAGTGGTTTGCCATCTGGCGGGGTGCGCGCTCAGGTCTGGCTCCCCTTTCGAGAGGTGAATTTACAACCCTTGAAGCATTACTCAGCAGGGAGGTATTTCCGATCTTGGTTGTGCATTTCATGAAAAGTTTATGCCTGGAAATTCAGGCTTTCTCGATTCCTCTTTATTCTCCCTCCCTCCTTTTTCTGAGGTCCCCTCTTTCTCTGGCGATGGGGGTGGGGTTGGAAGAGAGGCTATTATCTGAGACAGGCTCACGTTATGGCTTCGCTCTCGGCAGCTCTCCTACTCTGCGTATGTGTGCGCGCGTGCATGTGTGCTACGTAAGTGTGGAATGAAATAGGTATGTTGGGGTGGGGAGGGTGTTTGGGGTATGACTTTTTTTTTTTTTATGACGGTGCTGGGCAAAGCTTGATGTGGTATTTTATCGAAAAATGATCACAATGCAAATAATGTGTGATTTGTGGTTTTGATTATTTTGCCGCGCTGTGCTGGTGTGAAATAATTTCTCCCTTTGTGTAGCTACCTGGGGATGGGTAAAAAGTAGCATTGTTTCCTTTACCCTGGGGCTTCTCTCCCTCCTGGCTTCTCTCTTGCAGGAGCTTTGCCTCGCATCCTCTACTTCTCTATTCAATTAGCGGCAGTAGAGGGCAGGCAGTGAGCTCTTAGAGGTGTGGAGATGGGGACATTCCTGAACAAAGGGGCTGCTTGGGTTGAGGCATTGTGAGGGATGAAGACAGCTGCCATTCATCTTAGGTACTTTTCTAATGTTGTAATAAAATCATAATTTTTAAAAGCTCCCTGAAAAAAATATATTTTAAGAATGTTTTGGGAACTGCAACTGGATAAATGAATCACATGCATGTCACTGTTGTTTGTGCTTTGTTTACACTGGCGGTGTCAGAATCCACCTAGAACGCATCTTGCCACTTTTGTCTAGATGACTCAATCTGATCATCTTAACTGGTGTCTAATGTGAAAGTGGAGGATGGAATATAAACAGAATCTGAGTGTGTGTGTTGGTATGTGACTGGGTTCACTCCCGTGTGTTGCTAGAAGAGTATTTGGGGCTGCATGGGAAATAGCAATAGGGTAATGAAGACACCTTTTGTTACTTATTTGTTGCTATGTTGCTGGTACTATTTAGTTCCACACACATTATTATTACACAAGACCAGTCCCTGTCTTCCTTTTTCAACTTTCTCCTACCAGTGAAAAAATAAGCCAGGGCAATTTTGATGACTTCACATTTCAGTGGTATTTGCTTTTTATGGGTGGTTTCATGCCATCAGGTTATTCTGTGGAGAATTAGGGAATACCTTTGTAGAATATTAACAAATTGTTGAATTTGCACTGCTTGTTTTTGTCTGCGTGAATTAGTCTGTGTAAGAAAACCGATGAAAGATTTTTTTTTTTTTTTTTGAGACAGAGTCTCACTCTTTTCCCTGGGCTGGCTAGAGTGCCGTGGCATCATCCTAGCTCACAGCAACCTCAAATTCCTGGGCTCAAGCAATCCTCCTGCCTCAGCCTCCCAAGTAGCTGGGACTACAGGCATGGGCCACCATGCCCGGCTAATTTTTTCTATATATTTTTAGTTGTCCAATTAATTTCTTTCTAATTTTAGTAGAGATGGGATCTCGCTCTTGCTCAGGCTGGTTTCGAACTCCTGAGTTCAAACAATCCGCCCGTCTCGGCCTCCCAGAGAGCTAGGATTACAGGGGTGAGCCACCGCGCCCGGCCCAGTGGAAGATTTTAACAGACTCTGAAAGTAGAATGCTTGCTGCAGTCAACAGCAGGATTGATTTTCCAAGGCAGGTTAAATATGGGTGTACTTCAGTTTGCAGCCTTGGTGTCTGCAGAATATCACACATGAAGATGTTTTGATTGCTATTTAGAAGAGTCATCTTATAAAACTCTTAGCAAAATAGACACCCCTAGCTAGCACATTTTTTACAAGTAAATTTGTATTTTTATTTGAGATTGATGAAAAGCATAATATGTTTGGTATACACTTAGTTATGTACCATCTCATAAAGACTGTTGAGCTCTCCATACCAGTAATGATGAATGAAGAATTACATTAACCTACAAAATATTGGGATGCCAACGCAGGGGGCCCACCCTATCCTTGGATGATCAGCGTAGGTCTATCCAGTTTGTAGCATGAAAGGGATTAAGATGGGAGCTTTGCTTGCCTGATGGTATATGCTGTTTAATTTTTGCTGTGTGTTTCAGATTGAGGTTCCTCTGGTGAGACAGAATTCATACTTACCCTGATTTAAATCATGTCATTTTAGGTAACCAAAGATGAAGGACTTTTTATTGGAGGGATTAGCAATTTGACAAAACTTCTGATTCATGGCCCAGGGTCGGAACAGTTTGGACTAATTTCTGCAACTGGCTTGAGTCCTTAGTGGTTTTCTTTTTGTTTCTATTTGTCTGTTTTTGGCATTCTGCAGCACAGTTGGTCATAGTTTACTCCTGAATGTTACTGTTAACTTTCCAAAATCTTTTATTACATCTTAGAAAGATATCTTATTGAGAGGATTTTTACTACTTTGAATACTAGGTGAGTGAAATACTAGCGTTTGAATGGCAGCCTTCTTATAATGATATTACACATGGCATTTAAAATTTTGTTGGTTAAAACGAGGAAAATGGCATAGAAGTGAAGGCCAGGTCAACATGGGATTGTACTTTTGACATCTTCTCTCCTTATTCCATACAAACAAGAATAGCTGGCTAATGTTTCAAATGCTTCCTCTACACCTTGCTATCTCATTTAATCCTCATAAGAACTCTGTGAGGTATGCTGCGATTTACAGATAAGGAATGGAAAGCTCAGAGAGATTAAGTGACCTGCTTAAGGACATATGGCAGAATAGAACTCCGTGGTATACATATACCACAT